CTTTGGTGATGTAATGCCGCTTTGACTGTGTGGTAGAAGTCTGCGGTGGAGCTCAGCAGAAGTGTGCATCAAGGGCACATAGCGGACGCAAATGAGGCATTCGCTCGTGAACAACCTACTAAACCAAAAGTGACAAATAAGATACCCTACCATCTTGTGGACTTAGGGATGCATTAGCCATTGTAAGACCACAAGTGCACAAGTATGTAATTTGGTACAGAGCTGTGAATGGAAGCGACGCAACTGACACCGAAAGTTGTGTGACAGTGACAACAACAACATGGGCGATGCAATTACTGTCTGTTTTACTGACTGAGAAACCACATGATTTGGTGAAGAGGGGTCTGAACGAATGCAAATCGATTCAGATCGTTATGCAAACCTGTTTGGACCACAGCTGTGTGTTGATGCTGCAATTTGCAGTGGTTCTGCTGATGTTTGGCACTAACAGCATACATTAACTAAATTTTACAAACCATTTTACAAACCTTTCTGATAACAGATTTATTATCATTTTAACGGAAACACACGCTGATAAAGCCTTACCAGACGCGCGTTCATTCCTCTCCACGGCGCCACTGAATGTTCTTCACCATATATAACTTGTAATATGATTATCATAGATTGATATAATCCAAGACGCGTGTGCAGTATCCTGTTATATATATGACTTGACTTTTTTGTGAAAAATATATAAAATACACATTCTTCGTAAAAATTATTCGCAATGGTTAGGCGGAAAATCGTGTGTGGGACAAATACATTTCTAAGCTTAATTTTACTGCTTTATGAATATAAAAACCAAAAAGAATGGTATTCTCTGTAAAGAAGACACTCCAAGCTTTCAAATGAACCCATATATGGGCTGATACCATATAAGGAAGGCTATGTAAATGAAGCATAAACATTTTTAACGCGATTTTCCGCAGAGTTGGTTTTAAAGCACAACATTATATGGACATTTAATATTGTCACGAATCCTGTCCATGGACTTCCGTTCGATCGCCACCAGAGGTCACCCTTCCGTTACATTGACTCTCATACTACACAGACTGCTACACATCACCCTGGACTACATTTCCCATGCTCCATTGCACTAATCACAAGCTCACCTGAAACCAATCACACACAGCTGCTACCAACAACACACACTATATAAATCAGTCTCACACCACCATTCAATGCCTAGTATTGTTTAGCGCTTATCGCCACGTCAGTGATAGCAACGTTATGGAGCCATTTCTGAGTTTTGTCTGGTTCCTAGTTCCTAGCTCTAGTCTAGTCACGTCTAGTTTTGTGCCTGATTGCCTGTTTCCTGATTTCCTGCCTGTCTTGGATTCTTTTTTTGCCTAGCTCTCTGGACATTGTTTACCTATCTCAGACCCACGTTAGCCTTTGGATTACTCTTCGTCTTGCCTCTTCCATTACTGTTTGCTGTGTATCGACCCATGCCTGTTTCATGACCACGCCTTTAAATAAAAGCATGCAGATGGATCCGCACGTCTCTGTCGCCCTGTAACAGATATGGTGTTTTGTTATTCCTGTTTGATAAATTTAGTGTGCCACCATTTATACTGATTCTGCTACTAGACAGAGTAGAACAGTTTCAGATAAACTGGCCATCATTGCTTCATAAAACTTCAGCATCACATCCACAAAGGACAAATTGTTCTTTTGAGATTCTCTATAATTTAATATCCCATTACACTGCTCTCACCCTCACAATCCCACTCCTCCTCCACTGCCTGTTAAGCTGCTACCGGAGTCAAACTGACTTCTTTAAAATCTATTAAATTATGATGTGTCATAAAACTAATTCTCTCCAGAGAGCATGAATCACATGACCCATCCCTTTGTACGCCCCACCTTTGACATTTTGTGTGTGTGTCTTATTAAAATTGATTAATATCAGTCTCCATTCCTTAAATTATTGTCCTGGTTCTTCAGCTTCCATCTGCAATCAGTTTAACAACCAAGAGAAAGTTTGAAGCAGGACAGAGAGAGATGAGGGGAGAACAATTAGTTATTTTGCTGTTATTTTTTAATCCCACCGAAAACTACCACAAACAGTGATCAGTTAATATGCATATAGTAGTTAGTGTGAGGTCACAGGTGATTTTATGGGCCAGCTTTTCTTTCACTTATTCAGCAGGAAGCAGTCTGTTAATTTTTAATCCTAACATTTATTATTAAACCAATTCACATGAAAAATTCAGAAGCTAATCGTATTAAACAGGATTGAATGATGAGAGTTTTTATTTTACTTTAATGGCATGTTCTTTAGTTTGCTTGTTTTTATATTATGTTGGCCTTTGTGGAAAGTATTCAAAAAATGATTGTCAAAGCACATGAGAAAATCACAAGTTACAAACTTTGGAGAGTAAATAAAACGCTTAACATTTTTTTCAGATGTTTAAATCTATCCAATTAGTGAGGTCTTAAGTTAGGTATATACAGTACGCTGTAAAAAAAATTTCTGTAAAAAAACGGTAATGTGCTGGCAGCAGAGTCGCCAGCAATCTACTGTAATTCTACAGTTTTACAGTAAAATACTGGCAGCAGAGTCGCCAGCAATCTACTGTAATTCTACAGTATTCATACTGTGAATTATTTAACAGCTTTTTTCTGTCAAAAATTAAATGCAGTACATTTCTGTGATTATTTCAATTTACAACATCATTATGGTTACTTTAAATTCATTCTTTATTGTACAAAGGCATACAATAATGGATAGAAATAATTAGATTGAAGATTCATTACTTATTTAATCTATTTCAAATATTTTTTAGATTTATTTTAAATCTAATGTTATTTTATGCCTGTGTAAAGAGTGAATTTAAAGTAACCAACGATGTTGTAATTAGATTTACGGTAGAACATTATTGTTCTGTGGGCTACACACATCTACTTAAAATACATTATATTGAAAGATCTAAAAAAAACAAGCAAACACTTAAAAGATATAAATCAAAATAAAGTTTTATTTAAAAGAGCAGTAAATGTTTAACAAGATTTCCAAACCAAAAAAAAAGGTAAAAAACTTGACAACCTGAGATTAAACACATTAAACATTTTAGCATTTAACATTTTTTGAACATTTTGAACATTTTTGGATCTGCACTACTAAGAACATGCAACAAATTTAGTGAAACATTTTAGTGAAAAACATTTTAGTGTAAAAACATTTGTTCAGGGTTGTTTCCACACTTTTTTTTAAACGTTTCAGTGAGGAGGCATGTGTACCTTTTAAAAGAGTCCTAGTCCTAGGTGAATGACTTTGTCATTTTACACCCACTTCACCATAACGACCTGGCTGCATGTTGTCTCCTATTCCAATTGGAAGGTATTCCAACTGGTACCTCTGTAAAACATCAGAAAACAAAATATTTTATCAAAATAACTCTAGAATTGTCAGTGTAGAGTACAACCCAGATAACAAGGAGATGGCTGATAGTGTTGACTAACAAAGCGCCTCCTGCATGTCTCAAGTCAACTAATTTTTCCATAACACTGCTACTTCCATAACAACTATTTTTTAACACGTTTCTTCTGTTCAGATTCACTGAATGGTCCATGTTTATATTACAGCACAAAATTATTCCTAAGATGTTACCTTTTGTATAGATGGTAATGAAACTGAATAACTAACACCCGGACAAATGTTCAACTACAATGGAATCAACTGTGGTTGGTCTATTTGATTTGATAGCATTTCATTTTTTAGATTTTCATTCCTTTACACTCCTGCAACATTTTTTAAAGGTTGTATTGCTTTTGTTTGTTTTTTTAGCACACTTTTACTTTTTTAAATGAACTTTGTGGTTTAATGTGGCAACATCAGTCTGTCAAAACAACACAGACAGAAACAAGAGGAGAGCTCACTGACCTATATGAAGTCCCACTGAAAGTCGATTAGGTTCTTCAATAGTGTGGAGACATGTGCATTCACTGTGGATAATTTTTTCTGGACAATCGCCCCTGTCCTCTTCGAGGTAACCTTTCCCTGGGTGGCCTTTGTGCCTTTTTCGGGATTGATGCCAATGAAGCGCCTGAAATTACAATAGTCAGAGACTGAATGAAAAACTATAAGGAACACCTTGTAAACTTAAAAGGGTAGTTTGGGTTTTGCACATTATGTTAATAACTAGTACTGACATCATGAGGTCTTTTGTCAAATTTTGCTGCCTGTTTTTTTTATATCTTGGAAGTAATTTACTTGTTAAACATTACAAGTGTAGTACTATGCACAGGAGACAGTTCACATATTATGCCTCTATTCAAGCTTATATGCAGTGTGATTTGAAAATCAGCTCCACTGCAGTAATAATCTAGCATAATTTAAAAAAAAAAAATCAAGATGCAGTGAGATCAGACAAAGGCATCAAGCAGCTCATGTATTTCATTTGTATTGTTCTTTGAATGTTTTTGTTGTGTTGTGGCTTGCAAAGTTTTTGTTATCTGACCCCATGTTCTGCTACTCATTTTTGCCCAGCAATTACCTAACTGAAAGGGAGATTTTTGATTTTTGGTTCAACTTTAATGTTATGAAGCGACAAGAATACTTTTTGTGCGCAAAAACAAAACAAAAAGAACGAGTTTATTCAACAATCTCTTCTCTTCCCTGTCAGTCTCCTATGCTGTTGATGTTGTAAACACAGTTCAGCGCTTCCAGGTTCAACGTCAGAACGTTGGCTCATTATTAATGATTAACATTATTATAATTAACATTATCATAACATTAAAGTTGAACCACTGCAGTCACGTGGACTATTTTAACAATGTCTTTACTAACTTTCTGAGCCTTGAAAAGTGCAATGACATTGCTGCCTATGTGTGGTTCAGATACCTCTCGGATTTAATCAAAAATATCTGAATTTGTGTTGCGAAGATAAATGGACGTCTTACGGGTTTGGAATGACATGAGGGTGAGTAATTAATAGAAATTGTATTTTTGGGTGAACTAACCTTTTAAAGAGCAAAATAAACAAAACGGGCAATTATCAGAAAACCTGCTATGAATAAATAGACACGGCATTCAGAATTTGAAAGACAGGGAAGAAAGAAAACATAAACTTACATCTGTAAAAAGGACCAGCCCTGTTAGTTTCTCTCCAAAATGTGCCATGAGCAGCTGAACAACACGAAGTGCCATCTCATCATCTTCACTTTTAGAGAGGACATCCTTGATATCTTGATTGATAGGCTTTTGTGTGAAGTATTGTGTGATGGCTGTTCCACATTCCTCCATACTGAGTTCCAAGCTACGAAGCACAGTGATGTCTGTAAGCAACTCAAAATGAGCATATATGAACTTTCGAGTGAAAAGAAAGGGCCATTTGCTTCGCAAATCTTCAACGTCAGGTGGTGGAAGGGCATTAATATCACGGCGTTGTAGACAGAATGTGTGCTCCATTCGATTTTTGACCTCTGCTCTTTCAGCTCCACCTGCACCTTCCTGACTGTAAATCTCCACCAGTTTTTGGCAGCTCTGTTCCAGTGTCTCGTCAGTTTCTTCTGGAGGGAGGTCTGGCTGAAATCTTGTACAATCATAACTGTCGCTTGGCCCCCTCTTGGAACTGCTTCTAGAGGCTCTGTGACGTGTAAAGTTTGCCTCACGGTTCACATTCTCGATGTGGTTTTTCACTTGAATCAAAAGTGATGTATAACCTCCACCTAAAAGTGACCCATCTGCCCCCATATCAGCAAAACTCTTCGGGTACTGCCTGATGATATTTCGAATCACAGAGAGACACTGTGAGCGAGTTGGGTTGGCCTCATACCTCCTCATTTCATCAACAAGTACTCGCACCATCTGGCGTCGCTCCATTGGTTTCGGTCTTTTGCGATCCACAATTGCAGATCTTATTTCCTGTGGCATTTTTTCCCATGGAACCTGGAAGGTTTCTGGCCATGTTTTGATTGTTTGAGATGTGGAGGAGCTGTTGCTTGGATCACTGTTTCTTGTCTGTCTTGACAATATTTCGGTGGATGGCAGATGTGATGAACTACAATGACTTGGAGTGCCTGATGAAGCCTCTGAAACTGATGAAGTAGTACTCAGTGGTGAAGAGGGTGGAATAACTTGCAGATCCAATGTGATGGTCTCTGTCTCTAAACAAAATAAAAAAAAAATAAAACACATATCAGTGTCAATGCAGTGACATTTACATGGCATGTCTCTAATAGAAAATGATTGTCTAATATCAAGTACTGACTTGATCCATAATAAACACAAACAAATGAGATCAAATATAAGAGGATGCATCTTATGAAAAATGTTTGTGATGAATCCACAAAATAAACTTGGTATGGTTTTGTTGTTACACACGTCTTTTAGTATCAGAATGTTTATGGTTAAATTATTGAAGTTCTCTGTGCTTACCATATTTTAGGATGTTATTCATTTATTACCTTGTTTAAACGCATCCATGAGTTTTCGGAGCTGAATGACGGGTAACAGATCAGCAATATCTTCCTTCTGTACATATCTTAGATCTTCTTTTGACTCCAAGCCAGAACTCTGAAGTTTAGAAATTATCTGTAACTGAGTCTCTTCTGAGAGATTTGGCAAGGTCTTGTGGATGATCCCCTTGATTTCTTCACTCAAATTAGTCATTATTCTGGAGTAAAGGGAAAGAATGGTGAAGAATTATCACTGGTGTGCCATGGACAGAGTACTCAGGTAAGGGGTAGTAATCAAGCAGATTCTCCTGATTAACACAACTGTAGCTTTTCTGCATCAGTGTAAATCTATAGACACCCATGTCAGGATAACGCATACCATGATATTTTTCAGCAATAAAATATACTGTTAAATCCTTGTGAATGAGAATCACTTTGATTTTTCCAATTACCAATCCCTCATCCTCATCATTGATCACAATGAACATGTTTTTCTTGTATTTAGTACCCTTCACAGCCACTTGATGTGCTATTAGAGTGTTTACAGCCTCAAAATTATGTTGTGCAACTGCCTCTCTGATGTCATCATTGTAATCTCCTGAGAAAAATGGTGTGCCCTTTTCCACTAAAACAGCTGGAGGGAAGAACTTTCCAGCACTCAAAAAGGCCTGTAGAAATTGATGTCTCTCTGCAAGAGTAGAGCATGGATTCTTAAAGTTTCGCAATTTTCTCAAACATTGTTTAAAATATGTATATTTGCTCTCGAATCTTAAAGTCCATAGACGAATAAGTGGCCCAAACTGGACAATGAGCTCTGGGTAATGACTGACATAATGATGTTTGGGCTTCAGTGGGTGATTAGGAAAGGTTTGCTTTCGGCAATGCAAATATTCATCGATAATAACTCTTAGGTAGGCTATTTGACCAGTTGAAATGGCTGGTGCACAAATGAGCTCCACAATTTCTCTAAGTTGTAATACCAACTGCCATATTTCATTGTCACCTGGATTTTCTATTTTGTCTCCAATCAAGACAGGCAACATTCTGAGCAAACACCAATTTTGCACAGCATGCCCTCCAAGTTTTCCACCCTCTGGACTGACCTCACAGGGTTTGTCATTAGCATCCTTACCAAGATACTTGAACTGATTTATTCGCCGATTCAACAAGAGATAGCTGAACTGTTTATCCACCTTAACAAAGTGGCTAATGTACAATGCCAGATCAGAGGATACAATACCCTCAAAAAGATCATGGCCAAGACAAGGAGGTAACCCTGGCTGACATACATGGATTTATGTGAGTGTATTAAATAAAGAGTCGAATTTAACACCTCCACTGGATGAAGACTGTCCATCACAGGTCTGAACATGATCACTGTATGACTGTTTTGTGCGTTCATTTCCTCGAATAAGAGGATCTGCATTGAATTCATCTCTGGTAATCTCACAATATCTGCAGAAGTGTGAACTCTTGCTAAAATTCTCAACAAAGCCTCCTATGTTATGTGAGCCTAGGTTGTCCCCTGCCATGGCACACAGAGTTCCCTTATAGACGTTTCCATCCGACAGGGTAACGCCATTGAGCTCAAGATCTTTAAGGTCTTTGACCATGGAGCCCATAACCAAGTCCTGACCAAAATACTTTAAGTCTTGTTCTCTACATAGAAGAACAAGCTGCATGTGTTCAGTGCTTGATCTATTATGTGGCATTAAATCTGCAAGAGTGAGATACACTGTGAGTATCTTGTGTTTTTGCTTCCCAGATCCCAGTGGATTGACCACTTCAAATGCATCCTGATATAGGATTAAGCTCAATGATGAGCTCTCTGTCTGAAATAACACATTCTCTGCAGTATTTCTGCCATCCCACACATCCCGAAGAATATCCTTAGATCCAATACTTGAGTGTACTTGTTTATATTGTTCCCACACTGACTCACAATGAAAAAGAGATTGGAGTGTTTGTTTAATGGGAATATACTGAGCGAAACACTCTTTGCCTGCCTCATTCTGACCAAGACAGATCTGAACTGGCTCAATATAATTGAAGTTATTCTTGAAAACAGTTTTTCTTCTCTGGTCAGTTTGCAATGACTGAGTGTTGCAGGACCTAAAGAGATCCTCAGTTTTCAGGACACTAATCACATTGCTTGTGTCAGCTTCTGAAACCCCAAGTGTAACCAGCTTCTCTTTCAGTTTGAAAAGCAAATGTGACTGGCTTATGTCATGTATTTCCTGAATATCTTCGATAATTGTTTGAATGACGGAGGATGGAAGCAATAACTTTGCTTGCAATTTCAAATAAAACGGCTAAATTTTTCAAGAATAGGGATTCATCAGCAGTTTCTGCAACTACATCTGATGGCTCATAATCTGCATCGCTGGGAGGGTCAATCTGAAAGTCAGACTGCTCTTGTTCGCTTTCATGGGACATGCCGGGATTCACTACTGAATCAACCAGACGTTCATCAGCACCATCTTTATGTGTCCTACTCACGTGAGATGTGAACGAGGATAAAACACGAAAGCTCTTGTCACAATATCTATAAGGGCAAGCAACTGTTTTCCCCTCTCTGATGTGTATTTTCAAATGAGAATAAAATGACTTCAAGTTCTTACAATTTTCCCTA